GAAAACACACGCACAAGCATGAATCTACACAACCGTAAAACGATGACGTGCATGAGACATGTCACTGAGCCAGCTGGCCCGATTCTGCCAATTGCCTTTTACGACAAGCATGAGATCCTGATGAAGAATATACAAGAATGTAAATAGTACGAGGTAATTGTATTTTCAGCTTTATTTGAAAATAAATTAAGATTATTTGAACTGTAAAATGTTCACAGTTTTCACTCCCGATTATTTTGTCATCAGTATGATGTTCCTTCGTTCCAATGTCGTGTATTCGGCATGTAGCAGATGGCAAGGTCTACATATTGAACTGAAGTTATCTGGCCACGTTTTCCCTGACATACTTCACCCTGCATGTACATTCTCAAACCACGTTTTCATATATGTTCACATTGCTTTTCACATATTTGACAGATAATGGCCCAAAGAACAATATATTATGATACTGTTGATCAAATCAGTATTTAGATTCATGATGACCAATGAAGACAAAATGTTTAAAAATTGCATTCTAAGAAAACGAAAAATGATAAATCTGACATAAGACAAAATTAATATGCTTAATCGAGTATTTATCTTACCGAAAATAAGGGTAAAAACGGGGTGCTGTGGGCGAACTGGCTAAGGCGCCAGGCTAGAGATCCAGCGAGGTTGAGGTGCCGGGATCGAGCCCACAAGTGACCGGGTGTGAAAAACCTTGGAGTCAACTTTGTGTGCAGATTCTTTCCGTGTTGTCACAACCCCTAGTGTACAGTACACAACCCTGTGCACTTAAAAGAACCCACGAATCCGTTTGTATATGACCAGATGGTGGCCACATGAATACGTGCAAACACCTAGTTGCGGGTACAACAACGTGCAGTGAACATAGACAAAGTACTGTGACTATGTGTCTCAGTCCACCCAGATGTGAATGGGTACCTCCTTAGGATGGGAAAGCCACAGTAACTCGGTGCGCCTAGTGGCAGCAAGAGTTGTCTATTCCCCAGGGAGATGAGATTGCTATATAAATATTCTATAATAATAATATATTGATGATACATGCTGAACGTCAATATTTTCTTAGTGATGACCAATTAAGGCAAAAATGCGAAAGTATCCTCAGCACTAACTAATGGAGGCACAGATGTGATACAGTATCAAGATGGTGTTTCGAAGCAAAATGTTCAGTCATCCTATTCCTAAGGGTTAACATTGGCCAAATGACTTGTTTGAACATGTAGCTGTTACACACTAAATAGTCCAAATGAGAAAAGGAGCAACGTCATGGTTGACATATTTCTATAGTGTGTTTTGAGGGTGATAGTCCCTGCGACAGAGATGTCAATTTGTCCAGCATATGAAACTACATGCAAGAGACAGCCTCATTTAATACACATTCATTCACCATACAGAATGTAAGTCCCTAATATGCAACAATTACGGGCAGTTTCTTGACAGTTATGGCACCAGCAGTGAGCGCTTTGACGTGGAAACTTGGGATCAGCACTTTGGTGATCTTTGACAACGCCATTCGTGGCACTTACCTCGCTGTCGAGGAGGACGCCGTTGACCATGTAGCCGGCTGGAATCAAAGGCATTCATAGTCGAAAACGGATGTCAAATCTGTTGGAGAATGTATGGAATACAGTGGGTACACAATCACAATATGAGAGCCATACCTTGCCATTTTGGTCAAAACTTCAAAATATCGTGTAATTTCTCGTTACATCATTTGAATATATCGTAATAAAGAAGTTCTTTATCCATTGAACTATCCCCTTGTACACCGATTACATTCTCCCTATTTCTAATATTTCCAATATTTCTAATATATGTTCCGATTATTTTCTCGTGATTTCAAGGTAAATTCAAAATTCGAAAATTTCGGTATTTCGAGTTTCTGAAAGAAACATGAAGCAACGAGAAAGTAATTAAAATAACGAGAAATGATCGAAAACCCTGTGAAAACATACTTTTCGAGTGTTCTTCAAAAACGGGAAATAACAAAAATATCGTCGAAAATACGAATATATAATCGAAAGAACAAGGAAAAAATAGTAATTTCGAAAAAAATAAACAAATATTTGGAATAATGAGACATTTCGGTATAAAAGAATATTCTGTGCTACCAAAGTTGCACCTGTCGGCTTTCCTACAATACTACATGGTGTTGGACACATGTTGTATTACATGATGAAATAGTTGTCGATAAACTAAATCTCTATCAGAACGACAGATTGTAAGAGCGTTCTGAAACCTTTTGAAATATAATGAAATTGTATGCTTAAAGGGATATATGAGCACATGCCACACAAAGGACCTTCTCGACACACACTCCATGCCGTATTTAGGCCATGAGTCTGACATTTTTTTTGTACCACTCAGAGGGACCAAACACTTTTATGTTTTTTTAAGTGGTTATGGTCTCTACATATCAAAAATGTATGATGGCCATGACGGTTTGGTAGCTCAGACTCAGAACGAGGCTAAATCCAAGATGGCCGCCAAAAAATTCAAATTTTCAAAAAATGTCAATTCCAAGCTTTAATCATAAGTAAAGTTCAGCAAATAGGTTGGAAATGAAAAAGGGAGGTAAAATGGTGCTAACATGATTAAAAACATTTAATTAATATCAAGTTGTGTTACTTGATACCTTTAAATCATATTTTTTCCTGAGCTACCAAATTGAGATGTCCCATCATACTTTTTTGATATATAGAGACATAAAGGAATATGCAAAACACTAAAACTTTTGGTCCCTCTGAGTGGTACCAATATGTCCATTTTCAGCTCCTGGCTCCTGGCCTAATTACGTCACCCAAGAACAACCACAAGGATTTCAGGGCCTCTTTTTAAACGTTACTTATCACATAACTAAGTGCAATATACCCACTATCAGCTATTGATAGGACAGCTATTGTTACATTGTGTTCACAGTATATAAACATTTACGCATAATGCGTTTGATGTATACTCATGCCAAAATGGTTGTCACCCCTTCAATTTTTTTATTGAGAGGGTGGTGGGGTGTGGGATAATAGTGGGGGTGACAACCATTATTGGTATGAGTATATTATGGAATAATGCGGGTATTAGTATTCAGAAAGATCTGGGATAATACGGATGACAATATCAAATATTATCTTATACATTTACAGATACAGACATTAAATACAAACAATATACTAGAGTGGTGGAGCTTGATTCTATCGACCTCCTTAAAGGTATCAAGAGATATTTTATAGCACCCAGTTTCAGACAGAGCCCTGTGAACTACGTGGTACTTTGAGGATAACTGTGGGCGTGAGATGCATTCTGTAAATGTAAGCACTCTAGTTTTACGATTTTGAAAGCCTATTCACGTTTTTGCCTTTAAATCAACGTGCTGCTTTAATCTGTTTTTACCATACTTAAAACCAGAGAACATATAATAGATATTATGGTTTCTGTTGACGAAACAGGATAATAGGCGATCTTTTTCAAATTATCTTCCCTTCACCAATCCGTTGAGTACGCTGATCTGGACTGTCCAACCTTAAACTGACAGCGCATGTCTTATGCGCGATGCCCGCGGTATGTGTTACCATTTGACTTAGAGACAGTTAACCAGTATAGCCTTCACCGGTAACGTTCACGCGGGTGCATGGACAGTACATCTTTTCCCTTAAATGAAAAGCGAGTGTTATGTCCTGAAATATACTTAGGGGAAAAAATAAGGGATCACATGAAAGCGCAAGTGTTCCTTTATTTTTCCCAGGTTTATTCACAAGCTTAGTATCTCACAAGTGTGAAGAAACCTGGAAAAAAATAAAGGAACACTTGTGCTTTCATGTGATCCTTATTTGTTTCCCTCAGTATATGTGTTAAATGATTCCATGATATATCGGGGATGCCTATGTTTGATTGCTTATGATGCAATAATGAATCACCAGATGGTCGTTCGGAGCGAGGCGGTAGAATCAGCTGACTGTTCATTTCATGTCATGTTTTGTCGTTTTGTTCACGTTTTGCAGTGGCAAATGTAAGTTTTGCACTAAATGTCAGAATATATCATACTTTTAAACATGTGCTGTATTTTCATTGTATATGTACTCAAATCCCTTCCGTATGATTATGATAAAGCAAGAATATATATTAAAATGGCAGTTTTAAATTTTGAAATGAAGAAAAATGAAATTTTCTGCATACACAGAAGTACATATTCAATTTTCCATAATATAAATAAAAAAAGTATCCATGCATACTAATTTCAATCACTGTTAATGTTGTAAACAATGAAAGTGCAGCAGGGGAACGCGTGACCTTCGCTCTGTCTTTACATGAAGCAAGGTGTCGCAGCGCACTTTCAGTCGGAAACCAGACAGGAAGCGAGAAGTTGGACTATTGCTTACATCATTTCAAAAGAGAGTTATCAATCTTCGGGACAAAAAGATTGCCCGTTGCAAGCCACGTATGAAATTACGTGCCACAACATTTGAAGAATCCTAATTTGGCAGTGAGGCAAACTACAACAGCGGTTGCAGACAGCATTGTCTTATCAAGACGAAAGCCAACGTTCTGTTCCCAGTATTGATACACTATGCGGTGAGACCAGCGATCTTGATCGGAGTCAGAAGGGTGAAAAGCTCTCCGTCGTTGCTGACGATGTCAACAACAATGTCAACAACGATGACCAAACATGTTAGGATAATTTTTACCAAATCAGCATTTAATTTAATGATGGCCATCGAATACAAAATATTTCATTGCATTCTTAGAGAATAGTATGAATATATATTCTGAGACAATATTATAAATTTTCTTGGCGATAGAAGGTACCAATGTTGTAAAATAACATTGTTCAAACAAGATGACTTTTCATCTTGTCAAAAATGCGCGGTCGTCATATTCCTAATAGTTTAAATTCGCTGAATCAAATGATTTGTTTTGCTTGTTTTGAGGTGATCGCCCGGAGGATAAGGATGTTAGGCTGGCCTTCATATGAAAAAACATGCAAGAGACAGTCTCTTGAAATACACATTCATACAGCATATTTCTTTAATAAGCAACAACTACATGTATCTTATTGACAGTTTACGCGGAGGTTGTGGTGCCGGAAGTGAGCGCTTTGACTTGGTCTGCCAGGGAACTTGGGATCAGCACTTTGTCGATCTTGTGGACAACGCCATTGGTGGCACTTATCTCTGCACCGAGGGTACCGTCGTCGACCTCGTAACTGACTGAAATGAAAATAACGAGAGAAAAACTAGAAATTCCGAAAATAATTTTTTTTTAAATGGAAATAATGAAACCTTCGGTTTAAAATAATAATTCATGCTACAACAGTTTGTCTTTTGAGCAATACTATAAGTTGTATGCTTCTTTCGAGGGTAATGCGGTCTGATGTACGCCTCTTTGTAGCAGTGTCACCCGAGCTGGTGGTCGAGCTCTCAGGACTTAGTTGTCCTTGTAGGGGTGACACGGAAACTTAAAGCGCCATAGACCACTGAAACTAAAGTATTTTACATGAAGGTAAGAAAACACATGGTATTGCCCAAATGTGTTGCATTACACGAAGATCACTTTACTGTGATTAATAATGAATGGTTAAAAGAAAGGCCTTTTGTATTAATTGGTTCCTATAGTAATATGACACACTAACTGAATGCTTAAGAACTACGTACATCTCTACTAGAAACGATAGATTGGGCGCATTTTTATGAAACCTTTTGAAATATAATAAAATGATATTTTAAGAGGGATGAATATACAGGCAACTCAGTCACGAGGACGCGACACGTGTTTTTTTATGACGTTAATTCTCACACAATTAATACTAGAACAAAAGCAATATATCTAACTCAACTATTGATAGGGATGATATTACATTTTATGTAAAGTACATATTACATTTACGCATAATGAGGTTGATATATTATGTAATAATGCGGGTGAATAATTATGTTTTTAGGATTTAACCAGATCTGGGATAACATGAATAAAACTATCAAATATTATCTTACATATTTACCAGATTTAAATAAGGGTTAATACAAATAATGACACGTACAAATGAAACGGTGGAGCCTGATTCTGTCGGCCTCCTCAAAGGTATGAAGAGATGCAGAGTGGTACCCAGACTTATACAGAGACCCAGGAATCACGTGGTACTTGAGGATACCTAAGGAGAACAGATGCTTTCTTAAACTGGAAGCACATCTAATGGTAAAACAATAACCTATGTAATATACAATATAATGATGTTGAAACTCTTGCTGTCACGAATGATGAAAAATACAGGAAAGCATAGGCAGTAACCTTACATTTAACAGCAAATATTTTCTAAATATTCATATTCCTTCAACTGTAAAAATATGTATTGCATGTTCATTTTTAATGATAATGTGTCACCAAACGGTTGTTTAGTTACTGACAGACAAATTAAAAAATTGAATGTCACCTAAAATGTGTTAAAATTTTGACACTGCAACATTTTATTACTGCAACAGACCATAGAACTCCTCGCAGGGAAAAAATAACATATCAGTAGATGTTAATCGCCGCAGCACACTGTAGAACTCCTGGTAGTGAAATAATAACATTCAGATATAGAAATCACTTAAACACGCTATGGAACTAACTGGCAAGAAGAGTTGGGTTTGTGACGAGAGCTTGGACGACGTCGGATCCCAGGTCAGCAAAGGCTTTGTCAGTAGGAGCAAATACGGTGATTGGGTGCTGATCTGCAAACAAAAAAGCTGGTCGTTCGGTTTTTCATAGATAGAAGCAAAGACACCTTTCCACATGCACAGGAAACCTCTGCTAAAAGCAGAATATCCTATTCCGTATTGTCAATTACTCCATTCTTCAAAATGGTGGCTTAATTCTCTTTGAGCTTATTGCATTATTTTGACTTGCATCGTAGGTATTATTCCTAGATTCGACCTGATTGTGCTTCTGAATCTATGTTTGTCAGCATCATATCCACCCTCTTTGGATTTACAAAATGCTATATGGTTGTTTCATTGTTTAACTCCACACTCGGCAATATTGTAGCTTTATGGTGGCGGTCTGTAAATAATCGAGTCTGGACCAGACAATCCAGTAATCAACAGCACGCGCATCGATCTACGCAACTGACATACAATGACATGTGTCTACCAAGTCAGCGAGCCTGACCATCCGATCCCGTTAGTCGGATCTCACGACAAGCATGGGTTACTGAAGACCAATTCTAACCCGGACCTTCACGGGTAAAATGTTATATGGCTAAAGCCTGATAAAGGTATGCCCACGAACACCAAGCTGAGAAGTCTTACATTTGTCACATCAGACCTGAATTTAAAACCAGAAATGCAAAATGGAAACCTTTGCCAGATACGCTGAGTGGTGTTACCACTAACTATACCTGTTAAAATCTTTAACTTATCATCGAGGGAACAGGTGTAGGTTTGTCATGGATGACAAAAAGACTGTAGTATTGGTTATATTGTATGCAATTTAGCTCCCTAAAAACTGAAAGGTAATTGCTGTTTTGATGATAGGAACGGAATGTAATTGTTGCCAAATAATATGTCCATGCATTTTCTGTACGAAACTTAATATATGTGTACATATGTACATATTAAGCTAAGTGGATTTTTAAATTATGGGAATAGCAAATGAGGTTAACTGAATCAGACATCCGGATATAATACTGCTAGATTACTTCATTAAAACCTGACAAGAACCACCAGGGATTTCTAGATAAAGTAATCCGATAGTCACCCATCGTTCTTTTTGTCTGCTTGAACATTTTGACAAAATATTTTACAAACGCCCTTTTGGGGATGCGTTTGTGCGCAGAAACATTATCTCTAAATCTGCTGTTCTAACAGACAGTAACGCAGTCTCACGTCACGCTCAGTCGGGACCACCGGCAAATCGTCTCATAGCAGCTAATGAGTCCAAGGTGGCAGTGTGTGACTGCTTAGACGTTCGTGATAAAATTGTTTGTTATGAATGTTATTCACTCTACCGGGTAATTGTAAGCACCATGTGCCAGTATCATTTATATTCATACAGTACATGGTCAGACTTTGATTTCTAGAGTCACGAATAACTGATGAAATAGACCAGTGATAACAGCATTTTCTCGTCAGGAGCCAACATTCTGTTCCCAACATGTGTATACTGTTAGGATCCTGTTCAAGTATTCCACGCCGTGGTATTTTCACTATTCACTGCCCTCGCTTCAGAAGTGAGTGAGTGGGTTGGGGTTTACGCCGCTTTTAGCAATATTCCAGCAATATCACAGCGGGGGACACCAGAAAATGGGCTTCGCACATTGTACCCATGTGGGGAATCGAACCTGGGTCTGACGAGCGAACGATTTAACCACTAGGCTACCCCCACCGCCCTTCGCTTCAGAAATCAACAAACACTTCCGCGCTATACCTTGGAGGAAAGAGACGAGGCCAGCGCTCTTGACTGCTGTCAGGAGGGTGGTAAGCTCTCCGTCGTTAGTTACGATGTCAACAACGTTTCCCGATGGCGGCTGCATGATTCCATTCAATTGGTATACAACACCATTGCTCAGTACGTGGGCAGGGAGGTAGACACGTTGTCCTTGAGCAGCCAGACCCTGAAATAAGACACATTAAGTCATTTTACAAACCAAAATAATCAAACTGCTGTAGAGATTTCTCTAAAATTGTTAAAGTTCTGGAGCCATATCCACAAAGTGTTCGTAACGTTACGACCTATCGTAAATCTATATTGTAACATTGGCTTATGAATGACGTAGTGTTACGAACGCTCTGTGGATACGACCCGGGTTAGAATTGATCTTCAGTAACCCACGCTTGTCGTAAGAGGCGACGTCGGGTGGTCAGGCTCGCTAACTTGGCTGGCACATGTCATCGTATCCCGTTTGCTCATGCTGTTGATCACTGGATTGTCAGACCGCCGCCATATAGCTGAAATATTGCTGAGTGCGGCGTAAAACTAAACTCATTCACTCGATCCTTTCCAAAACAACTTTCCTAGCGCTACGACATTCGTAATTTTTTTAAGATCACAAAATGAACAATATATAAATTGTTCAGATGTTTATTCATGACATTTCTCTTTCTATCATCTGTTTCGAATATTTTCCTTATTTAGCGATTGTTCGCGTTGGGGTAATGGGTCATTATCCTTTTCTTTATACACAAAGCTCGTATAGCCCTCAAATCACCTTTATGACAATAAGGAAATTTATAATCAACCATTTGACTGTAAAATTTTATTATCGCAATCCTCTATTTATATATTTTAGAAAATTCAATTCAGATTTTGCCTACATGCATTTAAAACATCAACTTCATAATACAGATAAGTATGTATGGGTAATAGTAAATGTATATGATTTTCACAACTAATAATACACAATATATCGAAATCCAGTTTGCACTTACGCCAACTGACAAATAATCGTTCATTCTGATTTTGGAGCCCTGGAGAGAATCCAGAAGAAGTTCATTGATGGTGATGTCGGCGGCGTTGTGGATGCCGCTCAAGACATGATACTTCAGTACATCTGTAAGCTTGGCGGTGTCGTTCTTGAGGCTGCCGAGGACGCCGGCGTCAAGGTTACGGAAGGCTCTGTCGCTTGGTGCGAACAGGGTGAAGGGACCTGTTCAAAATCAAATTAATAGTAATGACACCAGGTGCTCGAAGTAGACTTGTCTTGCCCCACTTGGCACTTGTCACAAATACATGCAAGTACATGTCAATTATTTACACGGGATCATGAGGCATTTATTGGATATTTGGTCAAATTTTAGGTACTATTTGTCATTACAATAGTTTTTAATGATGTTAGTTACTTATTTTAGCGGCAAGCCCACTGCCTTAAGTTACTGTTATTCTTTTTAATTAGAGGTACCTCCCTTTGACCTATTTCTGGTCCTTGTAGATCTAGCGCTTGAAACATTGTTAGTCATAATTTCAGTTTCCGAACGAGATTGGAATTAAACGAAAAAATCGTTGTCTTAGAAAAGGATGAAACAAATTGCCTCAGACATTATAAAAAAGCTGATATATGTATTAATACTATTCCAAAAAAGAAACGCATAACCCAGAAATCTGTTGCGAAGATGTTGTATTTTCAAACTCGTCCACAAATAGACTTTACTACATGGCTTTTTGCGTCAGTTAGAAGAAGGAATTGTCTATACAACCAAGTGGATAATTTTAGATAACGGAGACGTTGAGCGCCATGGTGACGACGTAGCACGGTCCCGACATCGGATCTCCTGGCTCTCTGTCCAGTCTCTCTCAACCTGTTCCGTACAGTTTGACCGGATATCCTCCGAAATCCAGGTACCCTGGCTGCTGTGGTCTCACCCGTGGCAATACGATCATGCAAATGTAGTACCCGGATGTACCGATTTTGGGCTTTAGTGGTGACTCGAGGTCTGCCTGTTCGGGGACGGCCATTTATTATGCATGTTTGGTTGTAACGAGCTGTAAGCCGTGATATCGTGCTCAGACTAACATTCGAACGCCTGGTAACAGAAGATTGGTAATCTCCCGCGTGCATTCTTTCAATGGCGATGTCCGGTGTCTCAGCGTCAATACGTGGCGTAGTGATTTGATCTTGAAACTCCTTCAAAACAAATGCCGAGTTTCAAAAGTAATATGGATTTTTATAGCCAGACAGTGCAATGCTCTTTGCTGCACAACTTCAACTGGAAGGTGATTTCTGTTGCGTTGTGATGATGCCTTTTTAATCCTTGTAAGAAATCTCATCAAAATCAGCATTTTCAGGTAAAGTCGATTTTTTACATGAGCAATTGTGTAAAATCATGTATCAACACATGTGTTACATATTGTGACGATTGTTTGAACACAATAGGTAATTAATAGATTTTTAAAAATATAAAACACCTATGCGTTTCTTTTTTGGGATAGTATAGTTGGAAATAAAAAAATATGTCTGGTTTTGTGGGTGTAGGACATAAACATCCGAGCATTCACACAAAGTCCCCGACTCCAAGAATACGAAATCCTCGGCCCCTTACTTGTGAATAAATGGTACCAGTGAAACTGTATGTAAACTCTATATACTATATTTATTTATTCATATATATTTATCTTCACTTGAAATAGAAGTATTATCCGAAAGCGCATATCTCATAAACTATTTGTATTTGTACTGCATAGTCCAAAATTATTTATATAAAATCCGATGTTGGAACTTATGTTCTAAATAGCAACGTACATGTACAATCAACCGCGGTTAAATCAGTTTGTTTTTGTTTTGTTTTTGTTTGTTTTTGTTTTTTGTTTTGTCATGTTTTTTGTTTTAGGGTGGTGTTGGGAGTTGTTTGGTTGGGTTTTGTGGTTTGGTTTTCAGCTTGTTTTTTGTTTGTTTCGGTTTTTGGGGAGGGTTTTGTTGTTGATTGGGGTTTTTTGTGCGTTTTTTGTGGTTTTTTTATTGTTGTTGTTTGTTTTTGGTGTTTTTGTTTTTGGTTGTTTGTATGTTGTTGTTTTTGTTGTTAGTGCTGTATGTCGGCGGTCTGTAAATGACCGAGTCTCGACCATGTGCACCATGACACCATGGGCATCGATCTCTGCATTTGGAAGACAATGTCATGCATCTACCAAGTCAGGGAGACTGACCCGTTTGTCACCTCTTACGGCAAGGTTTGGTTGCTGATGACCCAACCCGGATCTTCACGTGTTGGTTACATCAGAAATTAACATAACCCACTAATCAGGCGAATTTAGATAAATCCTTCATTTCACAGCCCTCTGTTTACGGGATATGTTGCATAATTTCAGCAGCACAACTACAAGCGAAGAAAACACTCATTAACCCACTCATCCTTTTACACAAGGAACCAGAAAATGGTGCCTATCCATGAATCTAAGACTTACCAGCTCCTTTGAGGGTATCAGTGAGCCCGGCCTGTTTCAGAAGGCTGACAAGTGTGGTGTAACTGTAACGGCTTGAAGTCAGGTAGTCGACGATGGTGCTCGTTGAGCCCTGTCCCCATGCCGCTACCACTAGCGCACACAGAATTACCAAAACCTGCATGTTGTATCTGAGCGTTGTTACCGCAAATCCCCGTCGCCGGCTGAAGAAAAGTAAGAAGGAGTGGTTCCCTCGGGCGAGGCACCTAATAGGTCGCTATTGCGGTCATGTGATACCCAAAATATTGTACTTCTTATCAAAGGTTACCTGAAGGTCATATTGATAAGCGTCCTTATCCGTCGATTGTAATTTTTGTCCAAAAGAAAATAGAGTTGCACCACTTTTTGTTTTCACTATTAGTATGTATTATATAATTTGTGCCTTTAACACAGTAACTGATCTATCATGAATCCGTACCGAGTTCAACGGTTTTATTACATAAAGTAAATGAGCTGACTTTAACACCGCTAGCAACAATATGTCAGTTATATCATGGTAGATATTATATGGTTAGAATTCCCAAAGTGATGTAGTTCATGGATAGATAGACCTGTGAAGATCCAGGGTAGAATAGGTCTTCAGCAACCAATGCTTGCCACTAAAGGCGACTATGCTTGTCGTGAGATCCGACTAACGGTTTCGGGTGGTCAGGCTCGCTGGCTTGGTTGACAGATGTCATCGGTTTCCAATTGCGCAGGCCGATGCTCATGCTGTTGACCACTGGATTGTCTGGTCCAGACTCGATTATTTACAGACCGCCGCCATATAGCTGAAACCTAAACTCACTCACTCACTCATGGATAGATACTATGACCTGAGTACTGTGCTGGGTACACATTCACTGCTGGGTGGACAAAAGACCCTTGCCAAATAACCCAGCACATGTGCTGCATGTGCTTCAGTGTGCTGCAGGATTGAATCGCTTATAAACTCTCGAACCGGTCAGAAGACAAGCGGCCGAGTAAATCTATGGTTATGCTTTTGATCACTGGATTGTGTGGTCCAAACTCAAAGAGTACCGATTATTTACAGACCACCGCCATATAGCTGGAATATTACTGAGTACGGCGTCAAACACCAAACCAACCAGCCAACAAGCGGTCGAACGTTGTCAACTCAACTAACTTTCGCCTGACTAGTACGTATTCCAAGATATTATATTATACTTTACGTACATGGTAACCATGCCTCGGTGCATAGAATTCGTTAAACAAGCTCAGATGATAAATCTTGAATAAACAAACACGAAGCCATAGCTTACAAATTCGGAAATAAGGTGTCTTCTTCGAGTTCTTTATGCATTAGTATTCCCCTTACATACTTGTACTTTAACAAAGTATATACAAATATACTTGTTTATACATTTGAATTATAGTTTAAAGTACGCATATTTATTTATTTATACATCCTTACAAGTATTATTTGAAGTGGCGTTAGCTGAAGTAGGGATCAACATGTTCAGGTAAAATTATGTGGAGCCCACTGCGAAATAGGTGTAGGCCAAGTGCGATATTTCGGGTTGAAGTGCAAACAAGGGAATGAACGATGAGTAAACAAAGGTATGAACGATGAGAAAACAAAGGTATGAACGATGAGAAAACAATGGTATGAACGATGAGAAAACAAAGGTATGAACGATGAAAAAACAATGGCATGAACGATGAGAAAACAATGGTATGAACGATGAGAAAACAATGGTATGAACGATGAGAAAACAATGGTATGACGGATGAGAAAACAATGGTATGAACGATGAGAAAACAATGGCATGGACGATGAAAAAACAATAGTATGACCGATGAGAAAAACAGTGGTATGAACGATGAGAAAACAAAGGTATTAACGCATAGAGACAATCTGACAGAAGTAATGGAATCCTTGAATTAACGATAGAGACAATCCAACAGAAGTAATGGAATCCTTGAATTAACGATAGAGACAATCTACCAGAAGTAATGGATTCCTTGAATTAACGATAGAGACAATCTACCAGAAGTAATAGAATCCTTGAATTAACGATAGAGACAATCTACCAGAAGTAATAGAAGCCTTGAATTAACGGATAATGACAATCTAACAGAAGTAATGGATTCCTTGAATTAACGGATAATGACAATCTAACAGAAGTAATAGAAGCCTTGAATTAACGGACAGAGACATTCTAACAGAAGTAATGGATTCCTTGAATTAACGGATAATGACAATCTAACAGAAGTAATAGAATCCTAGAATTAACGGACAGAGACAATCTAACAGAAGTAATGGAATCCTAGAATTAACGGACAATGACAATCTAACAGAAGTAATGGAATCCTTGAGATGCTTCAGCTTCCTGGATCCGTAGCCAATAGTTGTAAACTTGTACTGTGGATTCAATTAAGTTCCATGTGTGACTCCGCACGTCTTATGACATGATGATGCAAAGAAATTCGCGTTCAATACATAATGCACTGTTTGAGGTTTTTATCTTTGTACTTTGTCTTGGTGAAAAGGTGACATCTGACTGGCAATTCGACATCAGAAAAACGGATATGCCTACTCTTCATAGATTCAATGATGAAAGAGACGAAGAGGTTTTACCGGTTTCTTTCACCTCTAGTTGAGGTGTGTGCGGAAGGATATTTATTATGTGGCATACAATGAACGATATCAGATCACGGATGTACGATGAAGTTTAAATTTCCTGGCCGAAGTTCCCTCGTTTTGATTTCGCCTCTCCGAGGAGAAACTCGTATGTGCTACCGAATGGATGAACAGTGACGAAAGCACGCTTGTGTCCATGGGGATGCCCTATGTTTGCCTAGATGAAAGAGGAGTGATCTTTTAGTCCAGTCAAGACGTTAATGGTGCTGAAGCATCTTTCTGTTGATTTTCTTCTTAGTTGATAGACAGGTTTATTTGGAATTGTGTGACATGATACTTATACTAAGTTCTATGATCAAACAAGTGAGGGTGAGGTGAGGTGAAAATGGGTTTAACGTCGTGCTTGAGAATATTTCGCTCGTATGACGACGTGCATGCGTGTGTATGTGTATGTGCGGCTGCTTGTACTAGCCCAGACGGAAGCTGGTTTTTATAGTGCTATCCCACTGAGATACCACGCCGCAGTGAAGCATGAATACCCCACTCAGACACATTATGCTGACTCCGAGCCGACCAGTCCTTGTTGTACCCATTAATGCCGAACGCCAGGCAGGGACCAACAAGTACCATATTTTAACGTCTTTTGCTATGACGCGGTCGGGGATCGAACCCGCGACCTTCCGTTCTCCGGGCGGACGCTCTAACCACTACACCCCGGAGGCGGTCATGATCAAACAAGTAATGTATATGCATCATTTAATGATGAAGCAAACATCTTTATGGATGACAACGTCTTGTTTATTGTACAGAGCGATGTTTCTTTAGCTTGATAACTCTGTACGAATGTGCAATAAACAAGAGGTTGTTATCCACAATATTGATAACTCACAAACCTCTAGAACATTGAAAAGTTATGAACACACAATCTCTTTTGCAAAGTGGTTACATGTAACACATTATACTAAGTTCTATGATCAAACAAGTGAGGGTGAGGTGAGGTGAAAATGGGTTTAACGTCGTGCTTGAGAATATTTCGCTCGTATGACGACGTGCATGCGTGTGTATGTGTATGTGCGGCTGCTTGTACTAGCCCAGACGGAAGCTGGTTTTTATAGTGCTATCCCACTGAGATACCACGCCGCAGTGAAGCATGAATACCCCATTCAGACACATTATACTGACTCCGAGCCGACCAGTCCTTGTTGTACCCATTAACGCCGAACGCCAGGCAGGGACCAACAAGTACCATATTTTAACGTCTTTTGCTATGACGCGGTCGGGGATCGAACCCGCGACCTTCCGCTCTCCGGGCGGACGCTCTAACCACTACACCACGGAGGCGGTCATGATCAAACAAGTAATGTATATGCATCATTTAATGATGAAGCAAACATCTTTATGGATGACAACGTCTTGTTTATTGCACAGAGCGATGTTTCTTTAGCTTGATAACTCTGTACGAATGTGCAATAAACAAGAGGTTGTTATCCACAATATTGATAACTCACGAACCTCTAGAACATTGAAAAGTTATGAACACACAATCTCTTTTGCAAAGTGGTTACATGTAACACATTATACTAAGTTCTATGATCAAACAAGTGAGGGTGAGGTGAGGTGAAAATGGGTTTAACGTCGTGCTTGAGAATATTTCGCTCGTATGACGACGTGCATGCGTGTGTATGTGTATGTGCGGCTGCTTGTACTAGCCCAGACGGAAGCTGGTTTTTATAGTGCTATCCCACTGAGATACCACGCCGCAGTGAAGCATGAATACCCCATTCAGACACATTATACTGACTCCGAGCCGACCAGTCCTTGTTGTACCCATTAACGCCGAACGCCAGGCAGGGACCAACAAGTACCATATTTTAACGTCTTTTGCTATGACGCGGTCGGGGATCGAACCCGCGACCTTCCGCTCTCCGGGCGGACGCTCTAACCACTACACCACGGAGGCGGTCATGATCAAACAAGTAATGTATATGCATCATTTAATGATGAAGCAAACATCTTTATGGATGACAACGTCTTGTTTATTGCACAGAGCGATGTTTCTTTAGCTTGATAACTCTGTACGAATGTGCAATAAACAAGAGGTTGTTATCCACAATATTGATAACTCACAAACCTCTAGAACATTGAAAAGTTATGAACACACAATCTCTTTTGCAAAGTGGTTACATGTAACACATTATACTAAGTTCTATGATCAAACAAGTGAGGGGTGAGGTGAGGTGAAAATGGGTTTAACGTCGTGCTTGAGAATATTTCGCTCGTATGACGACGTGCATGCGTGTGTATGTGTATGTGCGGCTGCTTGTACCAGCCCAGACGGAAGCTGGTTTTATAGTGCTATCCCACTGAGATACCACGCCGCAGTGAAGCATGAATACCCCACTCAGACACATTATGCTGACTCCGAGCCGACCAGTCCTTGTTGTACCCATTAATGCCGAACGCCAGGCAGGACCAACAAGTACCATATTTTAACGTCTTTGCTATGACGCGGTCGGGGATCGAACCCGCGACCTTCCGTTCTCCGGGCGGACGCTCTAACCACTACA